TTTTAGGAGAAATTATCCTAAATATAAGTGGAAAATTCTTAAAATAAGAATACCATTTTTTCAGTGTGACGGTGTACTTGATTGTAGCATGATTGTCGCCGTGGCAGCGGCATTCGCTACACCGAAATCGTTGCCCTGAATATAATTCCTTCATCACTCGGTCGCATAGATAGGCAGAAGACTCGGGTGTCTTCTCGCACGGAGGTGCTTTGCACCTACGTAGAGTACGCGTTTTGTGGGAACGAGACCCACGCAAAAATTCACGAGCACACCCAGCCGTGCTGTCGACCGCGGGCGGCTTCTCCCGATCAGGGAGATGTGCGATGATAAGTCGCGATTGCTTGCGTACCCGTGAAAATCGTGAACCGTAAGATCTGATAGACGTGTTTGCCTCTCGTTGCAGTTCCTCCAGAACCTGGGCAAGGTCGACCGAACTGCGGACGACATATTCGACGAGCACCTGCAAAACTTCACGAGGCAGCAGAACTCCGCCAACAGGCTGCAAAAGGAGTTCAACAATTACATCAGGTGTGTCCGAGGTAAGTCGAGAGGGACAAGTCCGCCGTGATCTCCATTCTTCAATGGCGCAATCGCGCCACTTTTATCAGACACTACCGAAGAAAAGAAAGACAAAATTGCGTGGCGTGTTGCGCGCAACTTTACGTCGCGTCGCCGTGACCCATTTGCTAAATACGCGTGGAGGTCCACTCGTGTTTTTTTTCCTCTTTTTTTTTTCTTTTTACGAATCACGGAGCGAGATATTAGGACCTTCGCAAAAAGTGCCCGTTTTTCAGTTCCCGATTTTTAAATTAAATTTTATGCGAAATGATAGCTCATGATAAGACATTAATCACAAAATTTTGATCACAAGAAATTAATCACAAAAAAGTTTTACATTGAGCATACGATTGGTTTCAGAGATATAGAGGATCAAAGTGGTCACTATCTACTAAGGAAGTTTGACACTAATAACGTTTTATCATACGAATTTTTGCGAAATTCAGTATCTACGGGTTCTTTGAGTTGCTTATTATGAATTCGATGTCAGATTTAAAAAATTCAAGATGGCGGATGTAATATAGCGGACACAAATAGTGAAAAAATTGTTTACTTTTATTAGAACTGTTATGTTGTGATATACTTTAAAACCGACAACTTCAGGACTGAATTTTTAGATAACTTTTATATTATTGGATATAATGATATGTAATTATAAAGAGTCACGGAAACTGCAATGAAAAACCACGTCTGTAATGAAAAAGCTTCTAAATATAACAAATAAAACTGTCACGTTATCCTTTATGCGTCATGTAACGTATCAATTTGAATTTGATATCTTTTTTTATGAAAAACCAATAAAAAAAATACTTTTTCCACTCAAAAATTTTCGTTGAAAAAGTTACTTTCGAAAACCTAATAGAAAATTCGCAACCAGCTAGCCAGAAAAAACCACAACATAACAGTTCCAATAAAAGTAAATGAATGTTTCACTATGTATGCCCGCCATGTTACATCTGCCATCTTGAATTTTTTAAATCTGACATCAGATTCATAATCGGCAACTCTCAAAGAACCCATAGATAGCGAATTTTGCAAAAATTCGTGCGATAAAGCGTTATTAGTGTCATACTTTCTTAGTAGGTAGTGACCACTTTGACCCTCTACATCTTTGAAACCAATCGTATGCTCAACGTAAAACTTTTCTGTAATTAATGTCTCATCATGAACTATCTTTTGGCATAAAATTCAAGGACCAAAATCGAGGCAACCGAAAAACGGGCAAAAAATCGGCCCTTTTTGCGGAGGTTCTTCATTCGTCATTATCGACACGTGTCTCAGCTTGCAAAGTGGGATTTCCGCAAGTGCGCGAAGTTTCAATTTCATCACGCTCCGTTCGGGATAACGAGGTGCCAAAGGCGCCTAAAGATGAAAAATCGTACACCGATCGAGCGAGTTGATAGATACCGATAGAAAAGAAGCGTCCGGTAGATTTACTTTTAGTTTTTTAGTCTTTGGACTCGCGTTTGTGTATCGAGCTCACCCTTCTTCCAGCTATCCCAGCCGCTTGAGCGGGGAAATGAGAATAGATTACGCTCTGTGCAGTAATTTGCAGTAATTCCGGGCGTTACGCAATAGAATCGAGCACTCGAGGTGCACGTAACAAAGCTCGTTCCGCACGCACGAGGTCAATTTTCGCTGAAAATCACCGAAGGCCGCGCCGTCGCCGAGCGTCGTCGTCCGTCGTCGCTCGGGAAAATCATTGTCGCTCTCGCGCTGAATGACGCGAACGGGTGAATAAGCCGCGGGGCATACGACATCAATTACGAATCGACGGCGGGAATCGACGTAATATTTTAATCGCGTACACACATTCTCAGCAACACACACACACACACACACACACACAGAGTCGCAAACAGGCGCGCAACGCGAGGCGACCTTTGAACGACGGCAGGAAGAAACGATTGTCGGCGTAATTCGCCGCGCGATCTTTCGCGCTACGGTGTGTCCGAAATATTAAGAGCCGAGCCGGGGTGACCTTGCCGCTGCGGGAGATTGTTCATATTTCAGATAAGATAAGCGCGACGACGCACCCATATGCAAGCCATGTGCTGCAATCGATAGGGCGCGGTCGGCGCGGCGGAGCGGATGCAGCCGAGCATTTTCCGCTTCTTCCGATACATTCGCTCATCTCACCCTTCCTTCCTCATCTCCATATCGGGGAGATTTTGCGAGGAACACGCGTTCCTCCGGCCTTCGATTGAGAAACTCGGCGTGAGCGCGGCGCAAAATTGATAAGCGTGAGAATCGCGCGAGGGAGAATTTTCGGCGAGCCCCCCGCCCCCACCGCCGCCGCCGCCGCCGCCTCATCGTTATGCAAACGTCGCGCGACATTCAGTCGCTCGCCGGTGACTTGTTCCTCCTACTCCTCCTCGTTTCGGGAGGAAGTGTTAATTTCGGAGAGAGAGCGCGTGGCACCCGCGTCAGCAGCAGCAGCAGCAGCAGCGGCGGTTCCCCTTACAAGTAAACTTTGCGAAACGTCAGACGTCGATTTGTTTCCAATTTTTTATAATCATTTTTTATGTCAAAATATGAAGAAATCTGTTATCATTTTTAGCTTAAATTAATTTTTTCAATTTTTTCGAAATTTTTCAAGTTTGGCACAAGTACACTATTTTATACATATTTAAAACAATATTTCTTAAAAATATATATATCTGATTTGTTGAAACTTGCACACACATGTCGCAGATTTTGTAAAATTCAAAATGGCGGATCTAATATGGCTAACGTCATTGTTGAAAAAGTAGTTCAGTTTTTAGTACGCTACATTCGACGTTGGGTAACGACAGTTTACTCTTCTGCAAAAATTTTCTTCTTTTTTTTGTTAATTTTTTACCAGATTTTGACATTAAAATGAGCTCGTTTGCTGGATAGTGAGCCGAAAGATTACGCAACGTCGAATGTAGTGTGCAAGTTTCAACAAATCAGATATATATATATATATATTTTTTTTTTAAGAAATATTGCTTTAAATGTGTATAAAATAGTGTACTTGTACCAATCTTCAAAAATTTCGAAAAAATTAAAAAATTAATTTAAGCTAAATTTAAGCTAAAAATGATGACAGATTTCTTCATATTTTGACATAAAAAATAACTATAAAAAATTGGAAACAAATCGACGTCTGACGTTTCCCGAGGTTCACTTGTTAGCGTTCCTTTTATCACTCGGCAGACGGGCGCGCAACGTCGTTTGCACATTAATACCCGCATGCCGCACGCGAGTTTCTCCCTCGCATACGCGCCGCCAACGTCGACCATGCGGATGAAAGGCCGCGCGACGCAGCGCTTTTCCTCTTGTCCAATTTCGCGGAACGTCTGTTCAATCTTTCAATCTTTTTTCTAGTAACATTTAATAATGAAAAATGTCGATGCGACGCGTCGAGAATTTAGCGTTTTTTTTTATTTTGTTTTTTTTTATACACGCACAGCAAGTAAAACGCACAGAGTCAGGTTTTGCCATCTTTTAGACAGGAGGATCCTCGGCGAGGATCCTCCCCCTCGTCGCTTAGGTCCGAGCCGAGGAGAAAGGAAGGACAAAGAACGAAACGACGGACACGTCTCGGTGGCTGTGTGGCTCTCGGGAGCCGAGAGTAAAAAGCAATGGTACTGAAAATTGCGGCGGCCGATTACCGTAATTGCGCTAACGACGACGCCGTTAACGCTCGCGCTCGAATCATCCGTATTAGCGCTACTTGATGCGCGCCTTCAATTGCCCGCGGTGGTGCGACAACGCTTTAATTGAAGAGGCCGATTTACGATTTGCAGACGTCCCGCAGCCGCGGCCGTCCCGATGAGTGACTGCGATTCGGAAAACACACTCGCTCGGTAAAGATGATCTGTCTCTCCAAGGTCGATCGCTTCAGCCGATCGGTATCGCGCCACTTCACGTCTTGCACGTGGAGACGCGGCGACATGACGGCGTCGGGGTCAGTCGTCGCTGAGCCTCGTTTCCGCGCCCGCGAACTCTTCGTCCTTCGTCCTATCGCTCGCGGGAGTCGCCGGTGGTGTCGTCGCGACGCGGAACTTTTCGCGTCAACGACCGCCTTATCGCGGTCTTCGCCAAACCGGCGAGGTGAGGTGAGCTTCGGATGTGGGTCAGGAAAGTAGTAGACGAGTCCGACCCGGGCTCCTGGCGCGGCGAATTCCCGAGTGTCGTCGATCGGCCGGGAAATCGGCGGGAAAAAGTTTCTCCGAGTCGACGACGGCCGCTTTTACGCGCGACCTCGCCGAGAGGCCCGCGGGGGATTTTCCCTCCGCGATGCGCCTTGCTGACGTGTAATGATGGATGAACGTATTAAGGTAGGCGCGCGCGCGAAGGAGAGAGAGAGAGAGAGAGAGAGAGAGAGAGAGAGAGAGAGAGAGAGAGAGAGAGAGAGAGAGAGAGACCGAGAGCGAGCGAGGAATGATGCGCGTCTGCGTTTCGTTTTGCAGCGGTGCAAGCCGCCTCGAAGACGCTCATGGACTCGTTGAATGAAATCTATGAGAGCCAATGGACCGGACACGATCTGTTATACGTACAGGCACAAAATCTCGACATGCTGTGGCAGGATTTCACTCACAAGCTCGCGGATCAGGTTCTTGTGCCACTCAACACATATCAGAGCCAATTCCCGGAGATGAGGGTACGTTCTCTCTCGCTGCATGCGCGCGAGTCTGCGTTGATAGCTCGTTGAACGATTCTTCTCCATCGATGTATTGATATTGTGTCTTCAGCGTGTTACCTGAAAGATGTACACGCGATGGAAAAGAGTCGAGCGACGCAGGAGAGTCGCAGGAAGCGCAATTGTGTCGAGTTGATAGAAAAGTAGCAAATAGGTCGAATAGCATCAGCTTCACCAGCGAGCGCCGCTGCGATATATTATTGGCGATAATTTTGATGAATCGTAATATGAATCCATTCTGCAGAAAAAGATCGACAAGCGCGGCCGCAAATTGGTGGACTACGACAGTCAGAGACACAACTTCCAATCGCTGCAGTGCAATCCAAAGAAGAGGGACGAGCTGAAGGTGTCTCGGGGGAAGGAGCTGCTGGAGGAGGCGAAGCGCACGTACGAGCAGCTGAATTCCGAGCTGCACGACGAGCTGCCGGCGTTGTACGACTCACGCGTGCTGTTCCTCGTCACCAATCTGCAGACCCTCTTCGCCGCCGAGCAAGTGTTTCACACGGAAAGCGCCAAGGTAACAATCTCGTCCGGCCGTTGAATCGTTGCTCTCGTTTGCGCGCGCGAAATTTTTCAAACGTTGCAAACAGCTGCGACGCTCGACAAAGTTGGAGTCTTGAAGATATTTGCGATATTCAGTAGTTGAAATGCGAAGTATTTCTGATGAAATTCATCATGCCCCCGTTCATGTCGACAGGTGTACTCCGAGTTGGAGGCGATCGTCGATAAATTGGCCAACGAGAGCCAGCGGGGTTCTTACACGCTGAAGAAGAGCACGGAACCGCAGTCGCCCAAGTCGCCGAACGCGAACTCGTCGTGAGTAGATGACTTCTCGACAGTATTGATGATTCGTTGACGCGCGCGCGCGCGCGTCTACGAAATTGACGCAAGCCTTGCCTTTGAACGCCTTTGAACGCACGGTGTATCGGCGGTGATCGTAGAGCGCGACATTGTTAATTAATGCGGCAAAACAGTTGCGTGAAACTCTCAGTAATACCAAATTCGCCGTCATTACGTAAGACGCGATATAACGACGACGACGACGACGACGACGACGACGACGACGACACAGCAGTCGCGGTCGTGCTGCGTGATAACAAAAGTCCCGATTTGTTTCAGCCTAATAATCAACACGCAACCGGCGCAGAACAACATCTCGGAAGGTAATTATTTTCGCATCTTCGTTCGCATTTCCGCTCGAGCGTTTTTGCCCTCCCGTCTCCCGTCTGCTTCCCGTGTCTCGGATTCTCTCTCCCCCGTAGAACATGCGTGCGTTACGCTGATATTTTCTGCATGACCCTTCCGCTCTCGCTGCTCGCGGAACGGGAACGGGAGAACGGGACCTCGTGTGGCGGTTCCCGCTGAAGGAACGCCGAGAACGCCGTGTTGTTGGGCCTACGGCGTGCGTACAGTTTTGAGTGTGCTTCCCTGTCGCGTGTTTCAGCCTTGGACGACACCGCGCCCCCGGCCGGGGACTCGTCGCCGACCACCCAGATAAACGGCAACGCTAACAGCAACGCTAACAGCAACGCTAACAGCAATGATAATTCTCTCAATAACCAGGACGCATCGCCGCAGAGCGCGGTCGCGCCTGCCAAGCGGGTCGAGGAGCTGTACGATATTCCTGTCGGTAAGTCGCCCGCGGATACTCCATTCCGCGGGTTACCCTCCCTCCGACGTGTCTTCTTGTTCCCGACGCTGTCAATGGCGCGTCCGTCTGTCTGTCTCTTTGTCTTTGTACTTGCGCGACTCGCCGACTCAAACGGCGAAAATTGCGACGAGAGTGTATGAAACGTGTCGGGGCGACAAGTCGACCGTAGAGGGCTGAATCGTCGACGTCTCAATAGCGCAACTACCGATGCGATTGATCCGCGTTTTAACGCGGGTGCGATATGATATATAATGTACATTCGTATCGAGGATTTTTCCCGAAGAAATTAGAAACCACTAGTTTCGAGCGCTTTGGTAGTTTCAGCGTTGACCGTCGACTCGATTCCGTTTTTCGAAGCTGGGAGAGTCTAGTTGGGTCTGTCGTTTTGCGAGGAATGAACCCGGATGAGAATGTATACGCAGTACATACACGGTGATTAATCTCGAGTGAAATGTGCAGCATCGTGGTCGTTGGTTGATTAATTAGTTGATTAGAGTTGTTGATTAGTGACACTGCCCGCTCACCCCTCTGTGCATGGTCTTGCCGGAGCGAGAGAGAGAGAGAGAGAGAGAGAGAGAGAGAGAGAGAGAGAGAGAGGGAGAGAGAGAGAGAGAGAGAGAGGGAGAGAGGGAGAGAAAGAGAGAGAGAGAGAGAGAGAGAGAGAGAAGTAGTATTCCGACCCGATTTCCGAGCGTGGTCTACATTGTGCAGAGTTGTTATAAATGAAGGAAACGTACTTTTTGAACGTTGCATGTCGAGCAATATCGTGTCCGGACGCGGATGAGATCGCAGACAGGTCCATGACTAACGGAGCGGATTCGGTGCTTCTAGAGGCGGAATATGAAAATTCCAATTTCTCTGTAGGGGCGACGACCGACAATCTACCGCCGGGCGTGTTGTACAGAGTCAAGGCCACTTACAAGTACAGCCGCGAGGACGTCGACGAGCTGTCGTTCGACGTCGGTGAAATCATACGTGTTGTGGAGTACGATGATCCGGAGGAACAGGTGAGAAACTTGTGAGAGACGACACACATTGTGTTCTCTCTGTCGGAATCGTGTTCTCGCAGACGAGAAAGAGAGTCACGACGATAAGTCTCTCTCGTCTACGACAAGCTTCCGCGAGGTGTCTTCTCCTCTCACGAAACAGTATCGCGTTGCTCTCTGCTGCAGGAGGAAGGCTGGCTAATGGGCATCAAGGAAGGCACCAACGAGAAGGGCATGTTCCCGGCGAACTTTACAAAGCCGCTGTGAAAGAGCTGCGTGCGGTTCGCCATCTGACACTCCAATGCTCACAGAGAAACGGCGTATTTTACTCTAAGATAAGTTAAAAGAGTCGTCATTGAAGCGGGAGATGAGAATTGTTGCGTGCGTGTGCGCGCGCGCAAGAGAAAGAGAGAGAGAGAGAGTAGTATTACGCACGATGTGTACAGGTATATAACGCGCAAGTGAAGGAGCGAACGCGAAAGGAGAGAAAAGAAAGAAAAAAGGAGATGGGCGCGGGCGATGGGTTCTTGCAGGGGAGGTAAAGGGGAGGGGAGCGGGGAATTCGATAAGATAGTTATGCTGGAGGGTACTGCGGAGAATCAATCACCCCAAAGTGCCTTAACCCAGCCACTGTCTGTGCCAACATTCACTCGTTTTGTTCATCAAGTGTGTGCGTGTGTGTATGCGTGCGTGCCTCCTGTGTGTGTGTGTGTGTGTGTGTGTGTGTGTCTCTGTGTGTGTGTCTGTGCGTATGGGATTAACTCTCTCATATCAAGCGTACGAAATGCAACACATCATGAGTAATCAAATGAGATATTTAAGCGACGAGATAATATATTATAACACATTAGACATATGCCACATGACACACACACACACACACACACACACACACACACACACACACACACACACACACACACACACACACACACACACACACACACACACACATACACGCACACAATATATACACATTTACACACGATATGCAATATTATAATATAAAACGAAAGCTATATATTAAATTAATATTATTTTATGAAAGTGTACATAGATCTATATACGATTTAAGAGTATTTTACGAGGTAACTTTGTGGCCACTGAGAAAATTATCGCTATTAAGAGAAATATACATACATCATAAAATTTAGAAACACCTCGCGCGAAACGTACGCGAGAAGGTTTGCCAAACTCCTTGTTTCGCGAGGGGAGATGAGAGAAATCTTCAAGGTCCAACTACCTGTCTGCATCCGTATCGTAAGGTTTTACAATATTAAAAGCCGCCTATTGTTGTCGGCGGGACAGATCTATCGTAGCGGTAATCCCCGTCAAAATCTCACCGCGATTCACAATGCCAAATTTTTCAACGACGTATTAATAATGTTGTAGGTACAGAGGAAAAGTGATACGTAAGAAAATGAATATTGCAATGTAGAAATGAAAGATGATACGGCAGCATATAGTCTCCGTGTATTTACGACCGATAGTTTTTCTTCTTCTTCGTCTCTCCCTACGGAGGCGAATTTTACGTTAGTGGAATTTAATCGCGAATTATTTTTGCAGATTTTATTTACTCGTTCATTGCGTATTCGCAATCTTATGTACATGTATGTAGAAAATCGGGTAGCGACAAGAGGGAGAAAGAGAGGGAGAGAGAGAGAGAGCGAGAGAACGTTTATTATTACATTATTCTTGCTATTATTATTATTACTCTTATTATTATCATTGTTATAACTCCCATCTATCTATCCATATTGTCAGAGTAGAGAACGAATCAAACCTTGTGAAAAAAAAGAAAGAAAGAGAAACTTTTTTGTAGTCTCAATCAATACTTGTTAGGTCTGCTCGAAAAAAACAATCTTATATTCTCATCTTGCGTAATAAATAGTGCTGTAATAATGATAATATATATACACACACATACACACATACCGTATACAGAAAGTAATGTTAACAGAGTATGGATTTCAGCTTCCACTTGATCGCGTGTGTCTTTTTATTTTATCGGCTTGCGGTCAGATTGTTTCATATGATTGATCCATTGTCACACTAATGATTGAGATCTGCCAGAAGTCATTGATAGGTTTCCTCGACTTTTCAAGTTTATCCATAACGTATAATAAGTGAAGCTGAAAGTTGTCGCAATACTCAACAAAAAAAATATCGATCTGTGAGGACGCTCGACAGTGTTTGAGCGAACTGTCAAAATTTTCGTTTCCTTCTTACCCTTACTATTCACTACAGTCGTCAAACGGCGGAGGAGCGTAGTGCATTTAAGTATCGAGAATGCGGATAAAGATGAAGAAATCTTTCGGCTGTGTAATATCGATATTTTTTTTCTTTTCTTTTTTTCTTTTTTTATTAACATTACACGCTTGTAAAAGTTTGGCGGTTTGGATGTGTAGTATCTGACGAAAATCTAATGAGCGAGAAGTGTACATAGCCGTCTATTGCCATCCGCGCATCGACGTGACGTGTTATAACGCGTTGAATTATAATACGTCGCGTCAGCATGTAAGATGGCAAGGAATCTCTTTTCAATGGCAATTATATCACGTTCGATGTTGCGCTCACAATGCAAGCGAACATGGAGAAGCGTCGGAAGAAGAATTCCCAGTAAAGGTTGCGGATGTTTAGTGTAGCAGTGGAGCAATCGATTGTTATATGTCATTTGTCACTTTTACGCCTTGTTGTTTTCCTTTTTCTTCTTCCCCCGAGGCAGTCAGTCGTATCTTTTTATAACCTCAATATAAAGTGTACCAAACACACACGTGGTACACACAAACATGTACTCTTCTGCATCTCCCTTAATTGTCTCGACATTTCAAACTGATTATACAATAAATAACGACTGATTTGTAATACATAACACACGTGAGCGTTTGTAGCGTGATTCCTTGCCCCGAAGTGAATAAAAGAAATGTATTTCGCCTGAGAATATCCATCGATCATCATCCCGACGAGCCGAGTCGAGTTAAAGTAAGCGAGTTTAACGAGAAAATTATTCCACCGCGCGACATTCCATCCACTCTCGCTGCGAAAGGATATGGCTGATGTGACGATCAGTGAGTGATTATGCGAGTACGATAAATTGTGCGAATATTTTATACAAGTGTGTGTCCGTATGCGTCTCTCACATTGGTCAGAAATGAGTCGTTTGTGTCAGCGTTGTGTTAACGTCTAGAAACTTCGACGTACACGCGTCAATTTTTCAACCAGTTAATGTAACTCGCGCGTCTTGTTGTATCATGTCCGCCGAAATCTTAACGTCCTCCGTCTTACTTGAAGAGTAGGCTTGAGTAAGACTCGTTTGAAATATGTTTGCGAACAAGCGCCAGTCTCCAAAAAGTCATCCTCTTCATTTTGAAATCAAAATGATCCTTCTTATCCCGCGCTAACGACACAGAGGAACAAGAAGCGTCGTCCCCTCAAGAATCGCAAGGGTATTCCCGTCTTCCGACTCGCCCGTCTCAGGAAAATATCGTCGCCATCCACTCATGCTACAAACACTACAGGCGAAGTAGACTGTCGAGACGCTCGGCGGTAATTTACGCAAAGAGTAATTGGCCGTCGCTAAGCGAGCCCGACCACGCGATCCTTAGATCCTTGTGTCTCTCGAGCAGACTTTGAGCGGCCAGTCGCAGCAATTGCGGGAGACCCTGCGAGTCTACCTGATGAGGACCCAAGTGGAGGAGGCTGTGACGGAGGACGAACAGGCGAGTCTGACGCAATGTCTGGCCACGATCGGCAACGCGTTCGACGCTCTCATTCAGTACACGCAGTCTCTGAAGGTGTCGTGTCTCGCCATGGGTAGAGCGCTCGACGTGGGTCACGCTCTGCTCGCTCTTCGTCCCGCTTCCGACGTGAATCGCACGGACGAGGATCTCCTATTGTGTCGCAAACAGGTAGTCCTATCTATAAAGACCTGCGCGTTTCTATCTCGCGAGAGTCTGGAGTTGTAAATACTTCCCTTCTGCCATGTCTCCTCCGATCGTCGCGCAGATTCAGGTCGAGAGAGAGAAGAAAATGTCGAGTCTGCGAGAGCTGATCGAATGCTGCTCCAGTAACGTGGTCCTACCTGAGGACGCGTGCACGTTGCTGAACAATCATACAAACAGGAGGAAGGACTTTCTCGTCGCGTCGGCAAACTTTGAAAGCCTGCTCGAAAAGTCGAGACTGTCGGTGTCGCAGATGGAGAAGCTCCATCGGCAGCACGAGACAATCCTGGAGAACCTGCGACAGAGCAGGCGGCTCTTGGACTCGGAATTGCCGAGGATAATTAATTCGTACGTAAGCAGGACGAGTCTCGAGTGGCAGAGTATTTATCAAACTGAACGATGAAACGCAGGCGGTTGCAATCACTCCAGCGAGTCTTTCGCGAGGTCGCAGAATTGTGCGAGGACGGTAACGTGCATGTCACCAGTCTATTCAAGTTGATTGCGATGAACCTCTGCCGAGTGAGGGACGTAGGTGAGCGCAATTTTCAAGGGAAATTTGTCAAATAACGAGTCAAAATAAAAGAAAAGTCAATATCTCGAGAAAAAGACCCTTAGAAAAGATTACTTCAAATTTTTTAATTACTCATAGTTAACTATAAGTAACTTTAGATAACTATAAGTAACTTTATGTTAATTGGAACATCTTAAGTAATTTTTTCCAAGGGGTAGATAAAATTAGATTCCAAATCTGTATACAATTTTTCATATTTCTCTCCCGGAAATTTTTCCTGGCGTTTACACAATCGTCGCTTGACGCGCAGAGTTTGCACTCACTAGTCGAAATTTGTTGCGAAACGTGTAGAAGAAACGTTCGACAAGCAAGAGACGCGTAAAGAATTGCACGGGCAAGAAGTGATCCGCGGACACGACGCTGCGGTCTTTACAACTGTTGATTAATTAAGGGATCGAATTAAGTCTGAGGAATCTGTCGCAATTATAGGCTTCGCGAAGCCACACATTCTAAAACTTAATCCTCTTGTCGGGCGATGGCAATGGTTTGTACGACATGCGCCTTTCGCGATATGCACAAGAAGGATGCACGGAAATCCGGCAAAATAGAGAACAAAATACCAATGGAAACAACCACGTTTATACACCTAAATTTAGGAAGATTCAAGTTTCTCTCTTATTTGGAAACAGACGCACAAGTCGTTCTCGCGATAAAAATTGTAGTTTGTTTCGTATGGAAGAAGCGAGTGCGTGTATAAAAACTCGGTGTATAAAAACAAACTCTCGAGATAATCTAAATTTCACGCTTCTGGAAGTTTCTCGAGAGGATGCCGTGATTTGCAAGAAGTGCTTCCAAATAATGCTAATATCGACGCTTCGATATCACATTACGAGTTGTTGTTGTTCCATTTCTTATGAACAGCTAACAATGTAACCTAGTTGGCCGAGCCTAGCTCGTGTACATTCGTCAAAACAATAGCATCCAATGCTGATTGGAATACTGATTAAAAACTCGAGCACAAGACATCGAGAACGTCGTCATTCTTGACACACAAGTCCGGTACACCGCAGCACTAAGTTAGGAGTCTCCCACTCTCTATCCGGATTCTCGCAAAAGACTCACCTTTTTGTTGATTATTAAACAAGCTGTTTTTAAGAAAACAAATCTAATGATTCGAACCTCCTGTACCGTATCCAAACGCATTTTATTGCAACTTTCTGTCGCGTGGGAATCAGCGACATTTTATTGCACGTGTCGAACGTTCACCACTTTGCAACCGATCAACGAAGAGCTTCTGTTTCAACGCAGCGAAGAAGCCATTATCATCATTTAATTCGAGGCAAGAAGGTAACGTCTGATACATAGTTGAAAAGTCCAAAAGCGGAGACTGGAGATACGGGTCTTCACCGTAAACACTTGAAAATGGACAAAAAACCAGATTGTCACTCGGGTCGCGTGATAGAAGCATCAAACGAACAAGTAGAAGATGAAGCAGAGAGAAATTTATCATCACGCACACTCGAGGCAAAGATTGCTCGACGGCGAAACAGAGTCTGAGACGAGGCGGACGCGAAAAGGCCAAGAGCGAAAACGAGAAATAGCACGCGCAAGTAAGACTAGCACAAAAACATGGATCGATATGGCGAAACTTGTCGCACCTTTGCGAGAGACAAACGTTCCATTTTCTGTCCGTTGACGCGTTCGTTGTCGAGTCCCTGTTGAAAATTCAAGCATCGTTCGTACAAGACCCGCCGCCGGGTGCGTCCATCTCCGCGGCCGGCCGGCCGGTAAGATAGAACACGCAACGACCGACGCGAGCGCGACGTAGTTCGCGGTGGCGGCCGTAGCGGCGCCGTTACGTTCTCCGTGCCTCCTCCCCGGCGGGTGGCGGCCGCGCCTCCTACTCGCCGATTTTAATCTCGTTAGCGGACACGTGCGCGCCCCCCGCGCCCTACGGTGCTGGTGATACGCGGAGGCAGCCACGAGCGAACCGGGAGCCGTTGGCCGTGGGTGCCGTGTCGCGGGGCTTCGTCAATCTGGTTTGGTCTAACAGGATTCCGCGGCTCGCGCGACGCTTCATAAAAGCTGCGCGCCGGACGGGCGCGGCGCGTGTCGCAAGGAGGAGTTGCTCCGCTCGGGAGGTGTGGGCGCTCGTGCAGCAGCAGCAGCAGCAGCAGCCAGCGGTAACGGCAGCATACACACGTACACCACATATAGACACACACACACGTGCACACAGTAAAGCGAAAGCGAGAGAGGAGGTAGAAACGACGAGGCATCGCGCGCACCGTGTCGGACTTTCGCGATCCGACACGTCGTCGTCGTCGCCGTACTCGTGCTCGTGGTCATCATCGTCGTCGTCGTCGTCGTCGTCGTGACCACGCGCACCGTGCCGCGTATGCCGCGGTCGTCTCGCGGTGTCGGTCCTCGTGTCAGTCGGTGCGTCGGAATAGTAGTAACAGCAGCAGCAGCGGCGACAGCTTTTCGCGTGTGTGCCAGAGGAAAGACCGCGACAGACGGAGAAGCGGTGGCAGCGTGAACGAGAGAGACAGAGGGAGCGAGCAACCAAGGGACGGCGGCTGTGCGCTTCAAGGAGAGACGAAGAGAGAGCGAGTGAGCTTTCAGGCTGATAGAGAGAGGGAGAGCGAGCGAGCGAGCAAGAGTGAGTGAGAGAGAGAGAGAGG